ATAAGGAAGTTCTCCTGCCGCACCCTATATTATTAGTAAGTATTGGTACTGATATAAATAAAAGTCTGAAGATGCAATATTACTTCAAGTTCCCACAGTAATTTTTGTTTTATAGAGTATTGTCTGTAAAATCTGAAGTTTTTTTTTAAAAAGTATAAATATAAAGTATAAAAAGTTTAAATTAATAAAAATTTTAAATTGTATAATTTTACTGCCAACTTAAAAATAAAGCTTTTAATTAAGCAATGTTGTCATTAATATATAAGGTAAAGAAACATAAATTCCATTGCAAATGTAAATAAGCTTCTTGTAGCTGGTCATTGTTCTGTTTGTATGTAGCTTCACTGCAGAGAAAAACTTTGCAGATTGCTTAAAAAAAGATAAAGCAAGTTACAGTGCTTATCTGATAATATAGGAATGTTTTTCATAATCTCCAATTAATATATCACTAAGTAAAAGAACAAGTAAGGCTTTCTCATTAGCAAAATCACTTCAGAAGATACTGAATAATTCTTGTAACTTACATTTACCATGTGAAATATTCAAAAGTGCATTTAATCCCTATCAAGTGATAATCAATTGTATTACCCAAGCCTTTGTGTGCTGGTGGAAAAATAGAATCTTTCCTTCAGCACTCTAACTTTCCGTGGTGATGCTAACTAAAAGGTACTAAATAATTTCATTTAATAGTTAATCTCCAGAAGTGAAAAAAAAAAATATATAATATTAGTTAAAGTGAAAAAATATAATTTAATAAAAAATCTATTTTAATGAAAAAATACTTTGTAATAAATATATCATTGAAAGTACTTTTAAAATACAGAGGGTGTTTTTGCATATTTTTGTAACGATTTTGGTCTTCTCCATGAATTTAAATATTAATTTTAAAATAAAAATGTGACTGGCATCAAATTGGCATAAGGTTTATTTATTGTCCGTAGAATTAAAAATATTCTTTTCTTTAAAGTTTCACTGAAAAATAAAAGATGGATCGAAGGCTATATTTTTGGACTGTCCAAAGAGAAAATACTCTTATTCAGTTATTAAAAAAAGATGTGAAAAGCATGGTTTTAATATATCTACACTTAAAGCATGGTTTTAATATATCTACACATAAACTAAGTGACATAACTAATATGAAAAGAAAGAAACGTCGAAGATTACATCTGACTAAAAAAAAGGCAAAAAATGCATACCCAACAAAGGTACATGCATCTCTTATTAAATCTAAAGTCACATCTCATGCTTTAAAAAAAAATCCAGCCCTCCAAAGAGCTATTTCAAAGTCTTTAAATATCTCTGTACTAACTGTGAACAAAATTATAAAATCTGATTTACAGCTAATCACCCCCCCCCCGAAAAAAAAGAAAAAACATAATTATTGATCGTCTACCACCGAAACATGTTTCTCACTGTAAGGCTATGTGCAGATTGTTGGGTGAAAAGTATTTGGTAGGTGAAAAATGGAAATATATAGTTACAATTGATGAGGCTTGGATATGCTTATCTGATTGCAATAGAAAAAGACTGATTTACTACTGAAAAAATAGTAGAAAAAGACTTAATATGCTGGTTCAGAGAAAACAGATAAAGGTTTTATAGTTATTACTGGATTTTCTTATAATGGAAAATTTAAAATAAGGAAAGTAGAAAAAAATTTCAAAATTAATTTGGATTACTATCAGAAATATGTTTTAACACCAATTTTCAAAGAAGAAATTCCATTTCTTTATCTAAACAATCTACACTGTGTTAAGTTCCACCAGGATAAGGCTCGAAGCCATACCTCTAAATCTACTGCTCTGTTTTTTTAAAAAAGAAATGAAAGCAGAATTGAAGCTATTCCCTGTAAAAGCATTTTACCCAAGTCCCCTGTTGTGTTTCCTATGGATTACTGTGCGTGTGGACTTTTAAAATAAGCTCTTTATAAGTGGCTTACCAAAACATTGGATGGACTCTGGAAGATTGTGAAGGAGGAGTGAAATAAAAAAGGACTTTTATCTTGGAAATCAAGATGTAATATGATAGTTCAACAATAGTGCTATCAGACTGCGCATATTAGAATGTAAAATTCTAAGGTTTGCTTATATGTAAATGTTTGGAATTTGTTAAAAAAATGTGTGAACACCCTCTGCATAATATCGATTAATATTTAAGTAAAGTATTAGGTTAAAATATAAAAGACTGTAATTTATATTAAAAAATCCTGATTTGAAAGTTTTTAGCAGTATAAGTAGAAGTTATTATGGAAAAAATAAATATAACCAAAAATTTAATAGTTTAGTGGTTAGTATTGGCTCCTGACTCCAAAGTTATCTTTATAATTAGAACTCCATTTCTTAAAATAACATTAATCCACATTTTAAATCAAAAATAGTCTTTGTTATCCTTTTTAGCAAATGTAAACAATTCTTAGAACAACAATATGAATAATCTTTTTGTTGCCATTCTCAAAACAACAAAAAACAAATCAAACAATATTAATCAGTATTTAAAATTTCTGTACAAGTTTAAGCCACAACAGTTCCGCTATGCATACATTTAAAATAAAATACAGGTGGATACTTGTTTGTTAAAGTGGCCGCTGCATTTAGTTGGCAGAATTGCCAGACCTATTGCCCGGCCTGTAATTTGCAAATTTTGGATGTCATCAAAGGCTTAACAAGGAAGTGCCAATTTAAGATATAAATATAATGAAAGTACCATTAAAAGGAATATGTATTGTTAGTTAAGTAACAACCATTGCAGCATTCAGTCCTTACCTTGTGAACTTTTTTTTCTTACTAAAGAGGAACTAAGTTTTCAGCAGCCCATATATTTTATTATAAGAAATGAAAGAGAATGCATATGTAAACAGTTTATGTTTGAGAAGAAGAAAAATTGCCCTCATATTTACAGTTACATCCCTTTTATTATTTTAGACTTTTAAAATAAGTTTTTATATTTTGGTTGTAGCAAGTGGATTTAGAAATTAGTGCATATCAAGACTAATATATTGACTTAATTAAGAAGCTGTCATGGTTATAAAATCCAAGAGGACAAATGACCAAGTTTTGAAATTCTTAAAGTAGATTTTTTTTAATAATTGCCTGAAATGTGCCTTTTCTATATAAATAAATATATTTTATAAATTTTATTTCACTGTTCATAATTAGTGTCCATGCTAGAGGTGTTCTTCAGTTTATATGTCTGCTGTAAATAGCTATAATATTGCATATTTAGTTGTTTCATTTTCTTTTTGTAATTCTTCCTAATAGATAGCATGAAATGCTTTAAAAATTTTTATATGTGTAAAAATGTGTGCTGTAAACATTTTGGACCTCTTTATATAATTACAAAATCATCTTTTATAAGAAATGAAGTTTAAAAAAAAAGTCATCCCCAAAATGAAATTTCGAGACATGACAAGAAAAATAGTACTTAAAGAGAAAAAACAAAAATGTGTTCGAATTAAAATTAAATCTAAAATAATGTTTTAAGATATTGAGCAAATCTTTAGCGTTAGAAAATAGTAAGTTACATCAGTTTTTTTTAATTTATAGATTTCAAAATATTTCCTTCAGTTTAAAAATAAAAATTAATTTTTTACTAAATTTAAAAAAAACTTTGAAAATTAAAAAAAAAATAACTTTTGTTATAATTTCTTATTCCCTTGAAATGAAGCAGCACAAATTTATAGTTATTTTGAAATATTTTGGGGAAAATATTAAAAATATATTGGTTTTCATTAAAAAACTTGAGAGGGAAGCTACTTTTCAGAACTATAAATTATTTATTAACACAGATTATATAATAAAGAAATTTGAAATACAGTGAACTCATATTTGTATGAATTATTTTGTGAATTGTTTTGTTTTTTTGTAAACTGTTGAATTTGTTCTGAAAAGTGTATGCTTTTTGCATGTATAGATTTTTGATTTTATATACTTTTTTGTGATGCATGGAAGCTCATAAAATCACTAATATATATATGAGTTTACATCAAAATACAGTTTCATCATAGATTTTAAAAATGAAAATTTAAAAAAAAATCTGGTTATTACTAAAAGTTATTATGGCTGCTGTGATTAATAATAACGCAGAGTAAAAGCTCAGCAGTGCTGAATTCTGGACAGTTTCTGTTCCGGATACACGAAAATTCCAAATAATTGAAATATCTAGATTTTTTTAAAATAATTTATTTTGTGTTATTAAAAAAATAGTACATTAAATTAATATTTTGGAAGAATTTCAGAACTGTCTACAATTCAAAGATGCCATTGATGCTGAGGTGCAGTGCATTTTTAGCAGTATTTATGTGGGGAAAAAAACAAGTATACCTTACAACTGAAGAAATATGGTATTCCTTAGTATAGAAATTCACATTTGAGACAATGTATCAGTTTCTGCTATGTAATGAAGTATAAAATTTACAATTTTTGAAATAAAGGTAATTATTGTTTCCATTTAAAAAAATAATCAAAATCCTTCAGTTAAATTTTTAAAACCCTTGCATAATATACAGATGCAAGAATAGGAATCCAGAAATTATCTTATAATTTTAAAATGAACTTAACTGGCTGATATACTATATTAAGTTGGAAGACTTTTTAAAAGTAACTGCATTATAAAAAAAAATATATTCTGTTGTAGCATAGAGAACAAGAGCAATAATGAAATTTTTTAACATTGTCATTCTAATGGAAGTCTTATTTTTAGCCCAGAAAAATGGGTCATTTTATGAAGAGAAATTATTTTGATGATGTTCTTTATTTTTGCTTACATTCAATTTTTCATTTGATTTCATGTATGAATTTCATAATACCTTTCTAATAATTTTATCATTTGCAAGTTTGAATTACAACTTTTGGTATTCATCAATAAAAGAATATTTATATTAAATATAATATTTGACTTAAAAAATCATTCAATTATTGTCACTTAAACGTTTTTTTCCGCAAATTAAAAAATATTAGTCTGACATAGTTATTACCAATCGTTATATGTTTTTATATTTATAGGGGAATTAGCATATCATGGCCATGAGGTGCGGGTGTATGATCGAAATCCTGAGGCTTTAGATCGAGTTCGTTTAAGAATTCAAGAAGATAAGCGTCTTCTCACTGAAGATGGACTCTTACTAACACCTACATTTTTAGTATGTTATTTCAGTCATATAAATATTAGTAGGTTAGCACATTCTTATGTGTAAATGCTTATTAATTCTTATGCATAATTAATATTTTAATTATTCATTATGAAGCTATTGAAATTGGTGATGTGATTTTCACTGAAGAGGATTAGGCATGAAAAGATTAGAAAAATTATAATCTAATATATTAATTAGAAAAATTGTAATCTAATTTCCTAAGACAACTCACCACAGGCATTAGAGATGGCTGTCTTAGAGAGATGAAATTCAGAACTAATGTTTATTTATGTTTTGAGAAATATTGATTGCTTTTATAAGTGGATCTTGAGGATCTTATCTTAAGGAGGTGGTTTTCGTGATAAAGAGTTTATTGTATTTTGAATGTAGAGACTAATGATAATAATATGAAGATTAATTAGTTTAATAAAAAAAGCACAATGTGCTTTGGTAAATTTTTAAAAATTCGGTGAAGATGAAAAATCAAAATTATAATGCTGTAATAATTTATTTTTAATATGATGGATTAAAATACTTTTATCTCAAAAAGAACACTAGACCACCAAAATAGATTACTTCTCAGTTTCCATGTTATTAATCATCTTAAAATTGTATAAATATTCCACTTTGGAGTGATTGTATAATGTTTCATGCTTGTGCTGCCCATCCAGTATAGTCGTTGGTGACGCTGACTGCCCTACCAGTGGGCCCTGGTTCAAATCCTGGAGAAGGCATGGATGTTTGTAAGCATATAGTGTTTTCAGAAAGGGGGCATTTATAATATAAGGTGAACCAAAAGTCATTTTTAGAGGTTGGTGTTAGGGTGTTAATTAGGGTTGAAGATCTGTCCCCCTCTTGCCGGGGAGTTCTCCCTCAAATTGGGGCCAAACTGCACAGTTAGTATGGTGGACCATACCTGTACAACCTAGTGGTGAAATTACTTGCACCTGTACCTGTTACATGCTTGTACAAGTGAGAATATATATAGTAAATCTTATTTCTGGAAATATTTTTTAGTTTCTTTTAAAAATATGTTATGACAAAAAAAAAGTTGCTGACAGGGGATCAAGACTATAGGATTGTCATACTACAGCTGTCTCATCAGCACTTTGCCATAAAATGGCTTGCCAGGTTACTTACGCAAGCTCCATAATAACCTCAAGTATGGACTAGCTTTTTGTACCTTTTCCTTCTTCATAGTGAATGCTTTCATAAAAATAAACTAAAATATTGCATTAAACTTTAAAGAAAAATTATATGAGTCATTAGAAAAATTTCTTACAACCTACTACCAGTAGTTAATAACATGTCTAAAGTAGCTGCAGAAATGAGTGAAAGCTAGCTTGATCTTCCTTCATCTAGAATTGATAAAACTCGAGTTCCTCCTACTCGTATGATAGGTTGACTAGATTAGAATAGCATTCAGTTTCAAATGAGGTAAAATACTGTTCCTTGTAATACTTTTGAGTATCAAGTAAATATGTTCTTGAAAATGTGAATGTCCAAAATTTCGGGGACTAGCCTAGTCCCTGTGACATATCACTGATTGAGATGATGCAATGTGCAAATTTATCTTTTCAGCTGGAGCTGGAAACAGTTTTAATAGTAGCTTGGGAGAAGCAAGCATAGTAATAAATTTATGTGAGACATGCCAGTTAATTTTAAGAGAACTTCCAGAAGCATCTCAGTTCAAATTAAACAGGCTGCCAGTGATATTTGTTCTTGAATCATTTATGATAATAAGGAAAAACAAGAAAGTGTTTTAGTTAGCACAAGAAAACTGCTATCTTATTTCCCTTAAATATTGCCCTTGCTTCTGAAAAAATGACAATCTTGTCTAAAAAGGAGGAGGCGATTTTAATTAATTAATTTAATTGAGCCTAAATATTATTAAAAAAAGTCTTTGATTGCTTATTCTTATCCCATTTCTTATTTTATTTGTAGTTCTTTGAAATATTTCTGTTAAAACTATAACTTATTTTAATTTTAAGAACTTCCCTAAATATTTTTAAAAGTCTGCTTTATGTTTAGAATTGAGGCTAAATGTTATTAAAAAAAGTCTTTGATTGCTTGTTCTTATCCCATTTCTTATTTTATTTGTAGTTCTTTGAAATATTTCTGTTTAAACTATAACTTATTTTAATTTTAAGAACTTCTCTAAATATTTTTAAAAGTCTGCTTTATGTTTAGAATTGAGGCTACCTAAGAGTTCTTGAAATTTTCTGCATTAAATTGGCCTTTGGTTATTCTTCTTTCTTTTTTAAATTTCAAAATGAAGAAAGATTGCTTGAATCCAAAGCAAAAAGTAGATTGCTTGAATCCAAGGCAAAAAGTAGATTGTATATAATTTTGTGAATATATGGAGGAGCAAATATTTTAGCATTTGATTTGAAAGTAATGATTTATAATTTGTTTTAAGTGCAAATTCCTTGTTATTATTATTTTGCTGAAAAAACTTTTGATTACATTTTCTAATTCTTTTTTTATTTACCTGACTCTTCTATTGTTAAAGATAACTCTTTTACTACCAAGACTTTTTTGAGCTTTTGGATTTGAACATAATTGTAAATTTAAGTAAAATCTTGTACTGAAAAAATAAATGCTGTGAAAGATGTCAATTTCAATGGTTTTTATTCTATTCTGAACCTCAATTATGTTTCAGAAATGTGAAATATTGTTCTTAATTGTTGTACAGTTCTTAATTGGTGTAGTACTCTGAAGTGCTTAATGTTGATACGAAATTAAAATGTTTTTGATGGCTGTGAATAAATGTATTTGATAGCCTCAGGTTAGGAAGTAGTTTCCTTAGATAAGAATATTATAATTATCAGTATTGATATTTATTTATTTTCTCAGAAATATTTCTCTCTTTTAGAGGTAATTTCTAAAGGATTTGTTTGCAAGAGAATTTGCTGTATTTCTTAAGTGTGCAGTTTGTGTATATAAAAGTTTTTATTTTCCACTGTTAGTCAGCTTCACAGAATTTTGTTTTTAAGTATGTAACTAACTTGAATTAATTCTGAACATGGAATAACAAAAATTATGATGAATGTTTTCATTTCTATTTCTGATCAGTGCATTTGTAAAACTGAAGTATGTTAGCTGATATTTTGAACTGAATTTTTAATATTATCACTTTATATACATTTCTGTCATATTTAGCATTTTAACTCTTTATTTAAAACAGTTTATTTAAAACATATCTAATGATTACATATATTGATATTATTTGACAACAGCCAATATTTATTATATTTAGGGTGATGTGTATTACATAAGCAGATTAGAAGAAGCTGTTAAAGTGTCAGATTTCATAATTGAAGCTGTACCTGATGATTTAGCTCTAAAACAGGATTTATTTGAATGTAAGTATTTTGCATTTTATTATACATAAATTTGTCATTGCTTTTTCTTTTATCTAACAGTTTTGAAGTTTTATTTTGATTTTAATCATGATATGATACACAAACAGAACTACATGAACATTATAAAGATGCTAATAAAAGGTAATAGGACTCAAACTATAGTTTACTTTTTATTGTTCCTTTGCATATATGAATATGAGATATTTATTACATTCATGAGTTTAAGATATATTTATGAACTATATTATATGACTTAGTTATTATATTAAATATTTTTTCTTTCTGATTATCTTCCACTCAAAAATATTTAGGAGGTAGTGTGCACTTTGTTACCAAAGCAGGCAACCTATAATGTCGCCAAAATGTGTTTATGTGACAACCCAGGTATGAACACATGCACAGCAGATGAGCACCTGTCATTAGTGTTTGTTTTGTTGAGTTGACGATGGTCACTAGTGTTTATTGCATTGAGTGTGCTTCCCTGCCCATAAGGCATCATAATGGGATTGTGGAGTTTGTGTGCTGATGAAAAGAAAGCATTGCATTTCTTCTGAAATATGGCATTTTGCATAAAAGTAGAGAATGCAAAAATTCATGTTGCATGAAATTGTACTTCATAAATAGTCAAATGTCATAGATCAAAATTTGTACAGTTCGTTAGTATTCCAATATATATATCAAAAGGGAGTTACATAATAGAGAGTGTCATATCACTGTCCTTCCCTGAAGAAGTGAGAAAAGAATAAGCGAGTTACACAATTAATGCCGCGGCGCACAATGAATTGGAAGTTGATCTGTCAGCACTATCCTTATCTTCAGGGCAGATGTTTTTACTTTATTTGGCTTATAATTCTTTACTAAATGTAGTATTTCATCTCGATATAATCCGTCTTTGATATGATTTAAATCAAATTCCTCGTTATTATAATTCGCTTTCCATAGTGAAGAAAGAGACACAGAGGTTATTGAAAACGAAAAAATTTCGATTGACAAATTAGTCGGTATTCTCGACACAGCAATTATAGGACTTGAACAGCGGAACTTTGTAATTGAACAGGAAATTATGTCTGTTTATAGAATTAAAGAGAAAGTATTATCACATAAAACGAAGCAACTTAAACAACTTACATTGAAAGAAATGTTTAATAAAGTAAACAAGTAAATATTAAGTTTTTTTTTTTTGTAAATTTTGATACTCTTTAGATCATAATTGTTCTTTATTTCATAAATTACGGTTTCATATTTTTAATTTTATAATTTCTGCATGCCATCTTACCAGATTTAAACTGATGATCTATAATCCGGAAAAATCTATAATCTGGAATCACCGAAGTCCCGACGAGTCCGGATTAACGACTTTTGACTGTGTAGATTTCTTTAGCTTGCAAACTTTATTTCCAGCTTTTGAGTATTCTTCAGGTTGAGTCATGTAAATTTCTTTTTCTAGTTCTCCATGAAGGAAAGTTGTTTTGTCATCAATATGTCTGACAGACATGTTTTTATACGAAGCAGCACATAGGAAGGCTCATAGATTTTTGTATTTTACTACAGGAGCAAAGGTTTCATCATAGTTAGATCCAAACTTCTGGCTAAATCCTTTTGCAATTAATCTGGCTTTGTATCTTTCAACTTTTCCTTCTGCATTGACAAGAACAAAGGTTTCATCATAGTCTGATCCAAACTTCTGGCTAAATCCTTTTGCAACTAATCTGGCTTTATATCTTTCAACTTTTCCTTCTGCATTTTTAACGACCATTTACATCCTATTGGTTTTCTTCCTTTTGGTAAATCAACTAATTCCCAAGTATTGTTTTCTTCTTAGTGAATTAATTTCTTCTCGACAGCTGTTAGCCATTTTCTTTTTTCATTTTCATCCAAAGTTTGAATTTCCTTCCAGGTTTTGGGTTTGGGGAAGATTGGATATTTTGCATGTAATCCGTAGGTTTACCTTTTGTGACTCTATTCGATCTTCTGACTTCCAAAGGTTCTTCTTCGTGTTCTGATATTTCTTCCTCTTCAGGTTCTTCTATTTTTATTTCTTCCTGTTTGTGTTCTGAGCTTTCTACCTTAGGATTTTCTTCATCCTGGTTTAAAGGTACACTACAGGCTCATCAGTTCCAGTGTCTTCAATAAATCGTACAGATCGACTTATTATGATTTGTGTCTCCAGGGACTAAAATTATGTAGCCTTTATTTCTGCTATCGTAGCCGATGAGTATTCCTTAGTATCATCCAGTTTACCCCTTTTAGATTTATGTATGTAAGCAAAAACCTTGCACCCAAAAGTTCTGAGATGAGAGAGGTTGGGTTTCTTGTTATTCCATAATTCGTATGGTGTTTTTGCATTTGGTTTTGTGGTGTTACGATTCTGTAAATTATTTGCAGTTAGTACTGCTTCCACCCAGTATCTGTGAGATTGACCTGAGTCAGCTAAAAGACATCTTGTCATCTCCATCCAAGACATATATTTGCGTTCACTCACTCCATCTTGTGCTGGACAATATGGTACAGTAAGCTGATGATTTATACCATGTTTTATAAGATATTCCTCAAGTGCCTTACTTTTGTACTCACCACCATTATCACTTCTTTTTTTCGTTTTTCCCTTTCTCCCAAATTTATTGTTTGTAAGAGCAATAAATTGTTTTAGTTTAGAAATTACTTCATTTTTCATTAGGTAAATCATTGTGAACGTAATTATCAATAAAAGTTTTGAAGTACAGGTATCCACTGACAGACGTTGTTTGTACTGGTCCTAAAACATCAGTGTACGAGTTCTAGCGGTTTAGATGCTTTGAATTTTGATTCTTTGGGATACGGGAAATCAGTTAGTTTACATTTTATGCAATGAGTGCATTTGGTATCATGTTTACAATTATGTAGTTTAATTCCTTCAGCGAGTTCTTTGTTCAAGTTATTTGATCACGTCATTGTTTCTGTGACCAAGGCATATATGCTAAAGTTGAACAAAGTTCTCATTTTTACACTGAAATGCTATATGAAGCTGATGGTTCGTTATTATTGTCGATTGGTTTAATTTGGTAAATATTGTTAGTTGCATGACATTCTAGAATAATCTGATCTTCCTTCATGATCATACATTTATTTCCTTCAAATAGAACCGAAAGTCCTTTTTCAGTTATTTTCTTAATTGAGATCAAATTCGCTTCTAATTCAGAAGCATATAAATCTTCTCATAAGAGAATTTCAGTTATTTTTTGTTTATCATTTAATGTTTTAAAATGGACAGTTCTTATCGCTGTTGATTTAAAACATTGCACATTCGCAGTTATAATATTTGATGAATTTATGGGTTTACATTCTGTGAAATATTTCTTATTTAACAGGTGGCTACTTGCCCCACTATTGAAAATAAAACTCTCTGATGATTTATGTACGATGCTATTAGCAGACAGAGTGATGCCACAGCATCTGGATTCGATTTCTGGTGTTTTAATTTTTATTTCTTGTTGATTCATCGTGAGGTTATACGCTTTCTTTGCTTGGTGTGTTTTAGAATCCGCATATGTTTTCTTCAAGTTTTGGCGCGGTTCATATTTTTGTTTCGATTTTAGATGATAACACTCTGATCTAAAATGATTAATCTTATGACAATTTGAGCAAAACTTTTCTCTCTTTGTCTTGTTTTGAAATGAGGCTTAAATGCCTTTGAATCTGATGAACTATTTTCAGTTCTCTTGTTAAATTCATCAATTAATTTCCCTTTTAAGAATTCCGGATTCAGTTCCGATTCTGCTCTGGCTTCAAGAGACGTAGTGAGCGTATCATAAGAACTAGGCATTGAACAAAGCAAAAGTGCTGAAACGTGTTCGTCTTTTATGTTCTCACCTATTGATTTGAGTTTATCAACTAACTCTGGTAATGTATTTATATGTGTTTGCATATTTCCGTCTTCCTTAAGCTTCAAACTGTAGAGCTTTTTTGTACCTGCCTGAGTTTTTCCCAGGTGGCTTTAGCAGTAGTTTCATTTTTAATGTGAATTATTTGGCTGTCTTCGATAAATAAATATATCATTGTGCGACATTGCCCGTTTACACCTTTGTTCTGTAATAGGGCTTGGAGGAACATCTTCAATTACATCGTCAAGATCCTCCTTTATTAGTAGTACTGTCAAAAGTCGTTAATTCGGACACCCATAATTCGGAATCATCTATAATCCGGACCTCAAAACTAAAAACTTTCTGCGCATGCGCAGCGTTGACACATGCGCATAGGCGTTTACGCGTGCGCGTAAGACCTTTTACGACTGCACATATGAGTGTGCGCAAGTGCAGAATACGTTTTCGCGTGCGCGTTTTATGTATAATGGACGTATAAGCTAAAATTATCTAATTATCTATTTCAGTTAATGTTGATGATTGCGTTGTTCCTTAATTTTCAGATTGGTTCCGGTTTATTATTTTTTGCAGACTGTAAGAGCAATTTTATAAAAGTAAGCTTAAACTTTCGATTATATCAAATAGAATTTCCAATATATATTTGTTAATATGTAAAGGATCTAAAGCGAAAGTATGTTTTGAAATCCGAAATTTGTTTATCAATTTCACGCTGCTCGGCGGGGGGGAACGCCGCAGCGGCGCGTAATGAATTGGAAGTTGATCTGTCAGCACTATCCTTATCTTCAGCGCAGATGTTTTTATTTTATTTGGCTTATAATTCCTTACCAAATTAGTATTTCATCTCGATGTGCTCCGTCTTTGATATGATTTAAAACAAGTTCCTCGTCATTATAATTCGCTTCCGATAGCGAAGAAAGTAACAGAGGTTAGTGAAAATGAAAGAATTTCGATTGACAAATTAGTCGGTGTTCTCGACACAGCAATTATGGACTTGAACAGCGGAACTTTAACTGAACAAGAAATTGTCTGTTTAATAGAATTAAAGAGAAAGTATTATCACATGAAACGAAGCAAAACTTAAACGACTTACATTGAAAGAAATGTTAATAAAGTAAACAAATAAATATTAAGCTTTTTCTTTTTGCAAATTTTGATACCCTTTAGATCATAATTGTTCTTTATTTCATAAATTACGGTTTCATATTTTTAATTTTAGAATTTCTGCATGCCATCTTACGAGATTTAAACTGATGATCTATAATTCGGAAAAATCGATAATCCGGAATCGCCGAAGTCCCGACGAGTCCGGATTAACGACTTTTGACTGTATTTGCATTTTGAATTTCCATGTTAAGTAATTGCTGGAATTCAGTTTTGCAGTTTGCATTTGACTTGAATGCAGCATTTTTGTATCATCGAAAAAATTTATTTTCAGTTTTGATATGAAACTAGAGTTTTTTTCTTTCAGTCTCATAATCTTTTGTTGTAAAACATTTTTATAACCTTGAAATTTCACAACAAAGTAATAAAAGTAGAGAGCAAAATGATTCCTCTTACCTTGTATCCATCTCAGCATCAAGTGAGATCATGCCTAATTAATTGGTAATCCAAAAAAGGTTGTAGATGGAAAATTGTAAGTGAAACACATTTTATTTACATGAAAATAGATTGAAATTCATTAGTATTCCAATTTATATATCAAAAGGGAGTTACATAATAGAGAGTGTCATATCACTGTCCTTTTCTGAAAGAGTGAGAAAAGTAAGAGTAAAGAATAAGCGAGTTGCACAATTAACTCCTTTGCAGGATGTCCAAATTACACTGTTTATCATGTTATTGGTGACAATCCATCACTATTTGCATACCAACATTTATGTGCTGTGAAGCTGCTGTATCAGAGATTTTCTGAAGTTACTTTACTTTATGATTAATAATAAATAACAATAATAAAGATTTTAATTTAGGGATTTTTTTAAAAAACGCTAATTAGGTTAGTTAAATGCAACGCAAAAATGTTAATTTAATGCATCTAGAAAATTTCTGGTGAATGTTCAAAAAATATCTATTGTATTTTATGATAATTTATGTGAACAAAATATATTTTTTAATAAAATTATTAAAACCTTTATATTACAACTTTTTTATTTATTTATTTACTCTTTTACTTTATACAGAACCTTTCTATTTTTAAGATCATAACGTATTAAAATATTTACATTTAGGGATATCACAGTGTTGTAAAAGTGATGCAGTAATTGCTACAAATTCTATGAATTTAAGTATAGATGACATAGCTGAACGAGCTGCTCAGAAAGAGGTACATCTTTTTTTTTTTCTTTATTGCCATGTCAGATCATGATATTTATAGTAAAGATTATATTGTTTAATATGAATTACTGCCAATTATAGCTGTGCTTTGTGATATTATTAATAAACTATAGAAAACATTATTTAGTTCAGCAGTTCTCTATCTTTTCTTGTCCCATTTTACCCTTCACACCAGAATATCACTTAGAGGTTTTCCTCTTTAAGATTATTTGAAATATGCATTCCAAATAAAGAATAAAATAAAAAAAAAAAAAAATTTAAGCACCATGATTTTAAAGATAAATAAAGTACATTATATTAATGATTTTAAATAATGCTTTATATATATATTGGTATATATAGTATTATATTTAATAAACTTTGCTAAGTATGTGAGTCATAATTCTTGTCATCATGACATTTTCTTAGCATCGCTATGCATGCTATAAGTATTAGAAAGACCACAGCAGATGACCCATCTTTCCTCTGACATATTTGTGTAATCATTTTTTATTATAGTAATTTTGTTTATATATTGCATTTCATCTGTGTATTCAAGTTAAAATTTCACATACTTCCTAAATTGGGCATGAAATTTTTTTCAGTTTTATTCTAATTATCATATAAAATGAAATATGGCTTACATAATATATTTTATTAAATGATAAAAAAGCATTTTCACTTTTTTAACTCCGTAGACTCCAGTTTTAAATCCTTTTTATCAGCTCCTTTCTCATGAATATTATTATGTTTGTATTATGATCAAACATAATAATACATAGTTATTTTGTTTTGTAATTATGTAAAGATCTAGTTACTGTTGTAACTTAGTAATGAGTTCCTAATAACTTGGTTAGGGTAGTACAAAAACAATATGTTGTTACTTAGATTCTGTGAGGTGAATTATCATCACCACAGTATTTAACCATCAAACAGACACAGAATTAAAACATTTCAAGTTTATTCTAACTCACCCAGCCAGCGTGAACTTTGGTTTAAACTCAAAGCTTTCTTTAAAAATGGATATAAATTCAACAGTTTAAATCTGATTTGACTAGAGACATCAAGCTTTCTTAGATGGTGACAGAAATTTAAACACGTACTTAAGAAAACAGGATCTAACCTCAATTTACAATGCTCACAGTAAGACCAGCATTAGTATTAGCAGGCCAAACTCTCACACTCTTATCCGTAAATCTCTAAAAAACTGCTTGTAAAACTTGTAGTAAAACTGCTTGCCTCTTAAATCTACATTCTAAAATTAGTGAACCACAGGTGAAAAGAGGCAGAACGCAAAAGAAGTAAGTTAAATACTTCTTTTGCATTCTACCTCTCTTAAATAGCATTTTGTTAGTAAAACTTAACACACTTTCAGCTGCACATTTTTTTATATATTTCTCATATATAAAATTTTCAGAGTTGCCAACTCTTCTGATTTTCGACCATTCTCCCACTAACCTGATTTCAACATATTTCTTGTGACTTATTATTAAAATTTATTCTTAAAATTTTCCCAATTTTTTATGTAGCTTAGCAAAGTGCTTCATTATTTGCACCAGAAAAAAGTGGTTCTAGGCATCTGAAAGTACTAGGTTTTTCCCTCTAGATTACACGTAAAAGAAAACCAAAGGCGTTTCATCAGTGAGAAATTATAGCATGCTTCTGCTTTGTGAGTGAGAGCACATATGTCCAAAAACATCGTGTTCCATTTCTCCAATGAACATCGAGCGTTGGTGCATGTCATCTGGCATATATTAGCCAATGAGCACAAAAAAACATCGAGGTTTTTATTTCGTTTATCTTGTCAGTATGCTGTGCGAGTGCATATGCTTTTGAGAAATCATTTAAGATATTACAATCTTTTGTTTTAGCTATGTCTGTGAAAAAGGTAAAATACTCATGTACTTTTCAAAAATCATACACAGATAACTTTCCTCCCTCTATTTCCTCAAGGACATGAAATACATTTGCGATCTGTAATGTTTGTCATTGTAATTTTTAAATTTTGTGTGGTGGAAGGGCTGCAAACATGTGCGTACTCTAAAACACAAGGACAAAATAAGTTCTATTGAAAAAATAAAATGATTTTTTCTGTGGAAGCAAAGGACCAAAAAGTTATTAATGCAAAATGCCTGTTTTCTGCCTTTTTACTGGAACACAATCTGCCACTGAATGCATCGTATCATGCTGTAGCTTTATTTAGAAAAATGTTTCCCGAAAGTGAAATCATTAAGAAATACTCAAGCCCAAGGACCAAAACAGTTGCAGTTGATAAAGAAATGGGTATGAAAAATAAATCTTGAGTTATTGCATTAAATTAAAATAGTTCTGTTCTGCCTCTCTACGGATGGAGAACTGATAATAATACTGATCAAAAACTGCATCCAGTTGTTTCTTTTTTTTAATCCAGTGTCTTCAGAAATTGAATGTAGTTTACTTTCTGTCTCCAATTTAGAAGGCCATTCAACAGACTTTAGTATAGCACAGGTAATTATTAAAACTTTAGAAGAAAATGCAGTTCTCCTGGATAACTGCTTAGCACTTGGTGCTGGCATCAGTAATGGTAGGCTTGAAGACTGGTATTCATGGCATCTTGAAAAAGGAAAATGCAGCTTTTCAAATTAAGAGGTGCACTTGTCACCTTAAATTTAGTAGCTGAAAAAGGGGCAGCTTCTTTACCAATAAGTGTTGATGAACACATCGTTGATATTTATTATTATTTTGAAAGGAGTTCTAAAGAGAAGAAACAATTCAAACAGCTGCATAATACTGAAATAGAAAAGATTTTGAAACATATATGTACTTGCTGGTTTTTTTAAAGAAATGCTTATCTCGAATCCTTGACTAATTGAACCCACTTCTTGCATTTTTTAAAGGAGAAGTAAATGCTTCTAGAGTTAAGATAAAAGGCATACCTATGAAAGTATTGAAAGTTATAACATACCTAAAGTAAATGGCAATGTAGTTACTACTTCCACTGTTAAAAGTAGGTTTGAGAAAAATAAAGTAATTTCTGTGCCAGTGAGCAATTTAATTCTTAGTTCTCAAAATAAGAACATAAAGCTGATACAAATTTCTCTCTCGGGGAAAAAAAAAAAAAAAAAGCTCAACCAGGGAAACATTTTCCAATTACTGCAAGTTTATCTTGTGAAGAATAAATGTTTATGCTTTGGTTGTCTGTCTGTGATTGATCTGTTTAAAGACATTTTATCAAAGTTTGTAAAACCAGTCTTTGCTTTATCTTCTAATTCTAAATATGATGTGATTTATAGTGAAATAGAAAATCAGATGATGAAGATTTGGTAATAGGGTCTGCTACTAACAAAGTAGTGAAAGAACTTTCAGAGATAGACAAAAGTACATTTTATTTACATGTCAAAAACTACTACTGCTGAGTGCTTGATTACATACTATATAATTTCCAGTCAACGATGAACTGATTTTACATGCTGAAATTGCAGATGTTTCTGCACTAGCAAATACATCGTTTACTGATATAAGATATTTTTTGAATAAATTTCCAGTTTTACTTCATTTAGTTATAAAAAACGATGATATTGATGTTGCAACTGATAAAATTGCAGTCACAGTTTTGCAGTTTAAAATTAGAAAAACTTGGATAAAGTTATAAAAACCAACTAAAATTGACACAAGTGGAGTCTGATTAGAAAACTGAAAGCTGCTGGTGGAATTTTAAACTGTCTAGGTTGGCTATCCTGATAATTCCCCATAGTAATGCAGAATGGGAGAGGATTTTCAGTTTTGCAAAAACAAGGATTAAATCTAGATCTAATATGAGTGATGACACATTGGAAAAACTTTTATTAGACAAAAGCAGGCCTACATGGCAATTGCTATGAACAAAATTATGAAGTTTCTTTCTTAATGAAAGCATAATCTGCCATGGATCAAAGCATTTGTATGGAAACTAATTAAAATATTATTTTTTGGTTAAAAGTTGCAAATAATAAAAATGTTTTTACATGTACGTATTTTTGTACTGTTTGCATTTAAGAATTAGTAATGAACTTTCAGATGTTAATAGTAACTATTTAAAGTTTCTTCTGTATTAAAAAGTATCTTTTTATCATTTAAAAAATCATTTATTGTTGAGAAACATCTCCTGATTTCTTAAAAAAATACATTTTGATTTTTGGGTGTCGTGTGTTGGCAAATATGAATTTTATTTGATGAGCTAATGAGAAATTCTTGAGTTCATGTAACATTGTCCAAGCTTTCTGCAGTGAAAATGCTTAACTCTGCTGTCATGCATATTTTTTGAAATTGCTGTTGCCAAATACATGATTTTATTTTTCCTTAAAAGAATTTTTTTTTTTTTTTTTTTGCAGACAAGAACATTTTAGGTTACAGTACACTTTTATAAAATCACTATTATGTGACATTTAAAATATATTCTGTTGTCAGGAGACTAATATGATTTCGCTTAATACTTTGTGTGTAAATTAAAAATTGCAAATTAACAAGTTTTTAGACTAGTTAACAATTTTTGTCCTCTAGTTTTATATATGAACATTTGTATAAAAAGTGCATATAACTAAACTTGATTAACCAAGAAATCAAGTAATAAAATGTTAAATATTTACAGTCAAAAGTCGTTAATCCGGACTCGTCGGGACTTCGGCGATTCTGGATTATCGATTTTTCCGGATTATAGATCATCAGTTTAAATCTCGTAAGATGGCATGCAGAAATTCTAAAATTAAAATATGAACCGTAATTTATGAATAATAACAATTATGATCTAAGGGTATCAAATTTGCAAAACGAAAAAGCTTAATATTTATTTGTTTACTTATTAACATTTCGTTCAATGTAAGTTGTTTAAGTTTTTTGCCTTCGTTTCATGTATAATACTTTCTCTTTAATTCTATTAAACAGACATAATTTCTTGTTCAAGTTACAAAGTTCCGCTGTTCAGTCCTATTATTGCTGTGTGAGAACACCGACAATTTGTCAATCGAAAATTTTTCGTTTTCAATAACCTCTGTCACTTTCTTCGCTATCAGAAGCGAATTATAATGACGAGGAACTTTTTTAAATCAATCAAAGACGGAGCATATCGAGATGAAATACTAATTTGGTAAGGAATTATAGCCAAATAAATAAAACATCTGCGCTGCAGATAAGGATAGTGCTGACAGATCAACTTCAATTCATTACGCTCCCGCGGCGTTCCCCCCCGAGAGCCTGATTGATAAACAGATTGGATTTCAAAAAACTTTCGCTTTATCCTTTACATCTTAACAAATATATCGGAAATTCTATTTGATATAATCGAAAGTTTAAGCTTACTTTTATAAAATTGCTCTTCAGTCTGCAAAAAAATAATAGCCGTATCCAATTGAAAATTAAGGAACAACGCAATCATCAACCTTAACTGAAATAGATAATTAGATAATTTTAGCTTATACGTCCATTATACATAAAACGCGCACGCGAAAACGTATTCTGCACTTGCGCACACTCATATGTGCAGTCGTAAAAGGTCTTACGCGCACGCGTAAACGCCTATGCGCATGTGTCAACGCGGCGCATGCGCAGAAAGTTTTTAGTTTTGAGGTCCGGATTATAGATCATTCCGAATTATGGGTGTCCGAATTAACGACTTTTGACTGTATTTCAGTGCAGTAGAATTCTTAATGTCTGTGCTATTACTATCCTCCATCTGTGTGCTTGAAAAATCCAATATAGTTTATTTTTTTTATTTTATTTTTTTGTTAGTCAAATAAGTACTTATTGTGGTGACTGCTTTTTCATATTTTATTTCAACACAAATCGTATAGTTAAGATGAAATGTTTAAATTTTTCAAAACAAAGTTGAATTTTTCGAGACATTTTTTATCAGTAGCAATTAATAAAGAAGAAGAAAAATCACAGAAAAATGTAACTTGTACCACTTTGTATTCTACATTATGCAACCACAATCAAGGTATTTGATTGCAGTTGCACAATGTAGAGTACAAATTCTTTGCACAGAGAGGAAATTGGATATATTAGCATGTTTGTTTAGTCTGTTTTTAGAAATGAAGCTTTTGTTATGCCTGAGTATGATTTATAGAATAAATAAATAGTAGATATGCTATATACAAAATATAATTACTTTACCATAATTGTTTATAAGTTTGCATAATTGGCTAGCTTTATAGGTTTACTTCATCCTGTGCATTTTCATCTACATTAATTCATAAACTTGAAAAATATGTACTGTATTATATTATTATTTTGTATTATTTAAGTAATTGAATTAATTCGAAACACATAAATAAATTAACTGTATGTTTAATTCTATTTATCCTAGGAATTTGAAGGTATATCATGCACATTCTCAATATCTGAAAATGCAACACTTTATCCATGCTTTTTTTTTTTTTTTTGATTATCTTGATTGTATATGCAAAATAATTAGAATTTTTGCATAACTATTATGATTTTAATTAGTTCTCAGTGTAAGGACAAAAGATTTTGATAACTGGAATTCATGGTATCTGGTGTAAATAATTGGTATTCTACTTAATGTCTCTTTTTTTATGAATATTTCTTGGTTAATATTAATCAGTCTTTTAATTTCATCTCTCTTTTTGTTTTCTAAACTTTATTTCAAGAAGCACAATGTTGTCCTTTTCACAGTTTATTAGAAAATTATTTCGGAACTTTTTTCCCTTCTTTCAGCGATGCTTAATTATGAGATTTTTGTTTCCTGTGTACTGCATACCTGAAGTTGAAATAGTACCAGGGAAATTCACTTCATTAGCGACACTGGAGAAAGGTAATATTTATGAATCTATTTTAACTTATAAATGTTAATCTACAAAAATGTTAATCTGCAAAATATTTAGATGTCAATATATTTTGATTGCAAAATATAATCATCAGAAAATACTTGCAGATATCAACCTTTACAGACAATAAAGATAAATAGGAATTTTTTCTTTTGTTTCATTATTATTACTGTTTATGAATGCTTTAGTAAATATTTATTTAGTAAATAAAATTTAAAGTTTTGTTTTATTAAACGAACCATTTTATGCCTGTAAAAAAAAAAGTCATCCTACCAGCTGCTTTCAGATAATTCATTTGGCCCACATGCAATTTGTGTTTGAGAACCACTGATGTAAGGTCTTTGTAGTTTGTTTATAAACATTTAAGATTTCCTTCCCCTTTTTATGCTACCTTCTACATTCATGAAACAATAGTGCACATTAATGCAGTATTATAGACTTATGAAATAATTATAACAATAAATAACATAAACACACCAAATTTTTTATATTGTCAATCAAAATTAAACTATACTACTTACAAGTTTGAAATGAGCTTTCAATCAAAAATTCTTAAATTATTTTACACTTGAATAAAGTTAGCAATATTTTGACTTAAAGTATCAACTTATTTATTAAAAATTATATGTTCTTATACAACTTAAAAAAAAAAAAAATTTGTTTACAAAATTGTGACTATTTTATTGCTATGTAAACATTAACACTTTACTGACTGCTAGCGGTTCAACAGCATACGCACGTCCGACCGGCCGCTCAGCTGCTGATTCTTCATGTTCTAAATAACTGTCAGGACAGTCTGATTAATTGTCTAAATAAAATTCTAGTACCATTTTTTTCGCTCATCATGAACGGTAATTTTTTAAAAAAACGTTGTTGAAAATGTGGGAGTTTACGAAGCAACGCACTTAAAGCAAGTGAGCAATGTACCTCAATACTAATAATAAAATTCAGATGATATAGCAAATGGCAATTGTTTATCACCATGACAACTGATTGATAGGCTATTTTTAGGTAGCCACGAGAAAAAAGCGATTAATAGGCTATCGGTTGATAGGCGTTGCTGGAAAAAAGCCGACGTTGCCTAAAATAAGCCGATCAATAGGCGATCGGTCGGTAGACGTTGGTTATGAAAAGCTGATTAATAGGCTATTGGTCGGTAGGCGTTGGCGATAAAAAGCCGATTAATAGGCTACCGGTCAGTAATGTGTTAAAAGAAAAAAACAAACATTAAAACTTTTGTTTTATGTCGAATAAGTAGCATTTACTTTTCTGTGTAACTTGAAAGGATTATCAATTTCAGTATGTTAAATATCAATACTTAGTTTTAAAAATTTCTATCAGCCCCAAAAAATAAAATTAACTAATTAGTAAATAAAACTATACACATTATGTTCTGTGTATCAAAGGCCTAGAAGCATATGATGAATCACACTTTGGGATTTAGTAATGTATTGTGCAAATGAAAAGGCATTATCAAGCAGAGAAATATATTATAACCTAAATTTCAGAGTGATTTTATATTATTAAGTCCACTTGCAACAGGGCAGCACTATTCCTTTCTGTACTATTATCTCCATGTATCAAACTTAACTTTAATTGATAGGCTATTTTTAGTATTTTAAATAAGTACTTATTGTGGTGACTGCTTTTTCATATTAAACTGGTAAATTGTTAAAATTTAAAGTAATTAAAGTAATCCTCTTTCAATTAAAGCAATTCTCTTTCAGTTCGCATGTTTCTTGCTAGAATGGGAAAAATTGCTTTCTTTAGATGTGGAACTGATCCACTTGTATTGAGTCCAGAACAAAGAGAAGCAAAAAAGTCAGGTTAGTTTCTGTTTATTTTGAGCTATTTTTGGTTTAATTATAATTCAAAGATTATTATTTTTAAATGTATGGGTTTAAAATTTTTTTTAATGTTCAGTATTACTGTATTTGAATTTTAAGATATAAAATTTAAATAAGGCTGTGAAATAATAATTGTCTGTAAGGTAGGTTAATTTTATAAGGTGGTTGTAAGTTGGGTTGTAAGGCTGTATTTTGTATAATGCCAATGCTATAAACCCTGCAGCAAAGGATTTGAATTGCAGACTTTTAAAACTTCACCAGAGACCACAAATAAGAAGTATTTCCTTGATTACAATTCCAAAGTGAACTTCCCAATTTATGTCTTGATTCTAATAATATTGTCATATATATAATGACTAATAATATTGACTTTAATATAATATACTCTCCAACAATTGCCTTGATTCTATCTATGCCTCAACTTCTAAGGTATATGCTACTTTATTGTCTGGACATTTCAAGATAGTCTGTGTACTGAAAAATGTCAACACTAATAGTTTTGAGCATATAGATAGGGTTTGGTTGACTAGAGTGTTAAGGCCATAATATGCCATAAATAAATAAAAACAGGAGGTGTTATAAAAAGAAATATATAAAGAAAATTTAACAGCTTTTTTATCATCTGGATAACAAGAACAGTAGAAGGTTAATGTGGTAAATAAGGAATCATGTTTCAGATTGTTGATATCTGAACTGTATTATGTAGCTTTTTTCAGAAGCATGAGTTGGCTTGTTACTCCTGTTTCTTGTGTTACCGGATTACATAACTTTAATCAGCTGACGTCAAGCATTTATTTCTTCGTATTATTTGATAAACTCAACTTACACTGCTGCATTATGATGGAAATACTAATAGGAAATATTTGAGCCAGAAATTATGAAATTATTGAATTTCTGCTTTTTAAAACGCTTAAAATATTATTATCCAATTCTGTGATTATTAGCTGGTGTTTTTTATCATTACATTATCTCTAATGGTAAAAAAATTGACACTTTTTCTTTGTAATCCTAAATTTAATTCATTTAACTTTCCAAAAACATCAGCTAAATATACTAAACGTGCCAATCATAATTCACTAAAAAACATTTTTGCGATTCAAATTTGGAATCGCAGAGGAAAATTTGAATTTCTGATTGAAGTTTTAAAAGGCAATTTAAAACTCTACCTCTAGATAACCACTTTACTTCAGAATATAACAAAAGCGTTTCGTGCTTGCTGACAGATCTCTTCGCATAAAATCGTAAATGTTCTTAAATTTAAAGCTTGGCTTTTAATAAAATTAACAATTTCGACAGCTTGATTCAAAATGATTTTCATGTTTTCAGGGATTGTTTTGGCTACTAAAGCTTCACAATGAATGTAGCAGTGAGTAAATTCAATTTCAGGTGTGATTTTCTTTATTTGAGGCATAACACCGGAATGTTTTTCTGTTAAAGCCTGAGCTTCCTCACCGCATACAGCAATGCGCTTATTCCAAGGAATATCATTCTCGGACATAAAATTGTCAATTACTTACTTCAATTAATAACATTTCATGTGCAGTTGCTCTATCATGAAGTGCGTCACAAAATAAATACTCTTTGGCAATTCAGTTATTTTCTTCGAAACATATGTAAACTAATAGTTGAACATATTTTGTTTTACCCATATTTTTATCCAATTGCAATGCAAAGTATTCGCTGTTTTTTTTTTTTTTTTTTAATAATAAATGTCTCTTTTAAGGAATTTGCCATTTCATGAATTCATCGACTTATTGTTTCAGTTAATAACGGAATATTACTAAGCCACCTTTTCATTGAATAATGTTAAAGCAGTATCTTTAGCTGCTAGTAATATAAAGTTTTCTCCAATAGTGTGAGCCCGTCTAGTCTTGGCAATTCTTAAGCTTACCGTTTAACTAGTTTCCAATACTTTTTCACTTGAAGTAACAAAGCCTTTCATTACTTGTTGTTTACTATTTTTGAACTCCGATAATTTCCTCTCAAAATATTCTTCAAATTTATGCTTTAACTTGGCATGCTTAGATTCAAGATGTCTTTTAAGAAATGATGGTTTCATACTTTGATTGGATAATAGTTCACTGCAAATAACATATTGATGTTGAGGGTCCATTTCATCTCCATTCCAAGTAAACTGAAATACGAGGGTTGGAACTTTAATAGTGGCAACTATTTATTTACAAGGAATACAAAAGTGATTCATGTCACCATGTTTTACAGTCCTTCAATATAGTCGCCAGCATTGTGTACAACCCGTTTCCAATGATGTGGAAGTCGCAGAATACGTAGCAGCGCCGTTTTGTTGATAGTTTTGAAGGACCGGTCTACTGCTGCAAGAATCTCAGGAACAGTTTGGAAGCGAATGCCACGAAGTGGTTCCTTCTTCTTAGGAATTAGTCATAGTCACAAGGGGTTATCTGGGGAGTATGTGGATGGTAAGCACTTCCAGCCCATCGCTTGAACCAAATGACTATGACTGCATAGCTTGCGCTGCATGCGGCCGAGCATTGTCATGCGAAATGAGAGGAGCGTTCTGCAGAAAGTGTCGCTGTTTTTTTCTCAAAGCTGGTCGGAGATTGTGCTCCAAAAATGAGCAGTAATACTGTGCAGACGTCTGCTGTGGGGAAAACGGTATGCGTTAGATAACACCATCACAGTCGTACAGAGAATCGCCAAAACTTTCACATTGCTGGGGTTCGACGAAATTTCGAATGTCGTGGTGACCCGAGATGACGCCATTCGTTTGATTGGCATTTCAGTTCTGCTGGTACGATCGGGCCCAAGTCTCATCCCGTATGATATGGCGTAAAAAAGCATCTCCTTCGCGCCATAGCGCTCCAGGGGGATTCGGCAGCATCGTATCGTAGCCATTTCTTGCATTTCCCGTCATTGATGTGGAACCCATCGTGAAGCAATTTTTCTCATTGACAGGCATTCCTTCAGAATGTGCAGCACAGTCGTATGCGCTAATCCTGTTTTCCGGCAGCTGATCAATCGTTTAGCGGCGATCACTGTCCATTAGTGCGGCAGCAGCTGCACGTCTGCAATCGCTGACACTCGAACGACCTGCCGCAGCATGTCTGCCCGTTTTGGCATCTTTCATTGAATGCTTCATCCATCTTGCTACAGTTCTTAAGGCAGTGCAGATTCCCCACAAGCTCTTGAAGTCTTGATGACACTGTCGGCTGTATGACTCTGGCACATTAAATTTTTATCCAACATCGTTGTTTTGTTTAAAAACATCCTGATAACATACTTTAGAGACCCGCGCTAATACAAGGATCCGTTCTTCGCGTCACTCCGCATGCGCGTGACGTAGGCAGGACGAGTCTTTTTGCTGAGAGGTAAGGTAGGAGTTTAATGTGGTATACGATATCTTTGGTTTTGTTGCGTAGCGTTTTTTCAGCTGTTTTGCCACTATTAAAGTTCCAACCTCATAAGAAACTTCATTATATTTTCTAAAACATTTTTTTTCTTTCAATATTTTTAGTGCTAGTAGATTGTCCTGGATCAGACCAAGGAAGGTTCTTTTACGAGGGCTCTTAGGCATGTAACCTTTATCCCCACATTGTCAAAGAATTATCTATTGCCAAAAAGAGGGTTCCACAAAGAGGTAAATTTAGTCCAAAATTTAATTTACAAAAAGTAACTGTCTTCCACAGTGAAAAAGGTAAAACACTGAAGACTTAATTTAGTACTTTTGGTATCGAATAAGGGCCAGAATCAAATTGGAGGGGTTACATTATGAATTTTGAAAAGCATCTATGTTTCCTTGATCAATGGTCATGTGGTGTTAACAACACGAGAGCAGAAACACTCATGAAAAACTTCATGTCGCAAGTACTTCGGGTTTGGGGAAAAGGAAAAGTGGAACCTCGTTAGGCAAGTTTGAATTAAAGAGACATGGCCAGCAATGCCTTTGAGGAGAAACTTTTATAAATATAATAAGATTGCATTAACTATAAGTGTTATGATAACTAATGAAAAAGCATTAAGTTCTCTTAAAGAGATTAAATTTAAATTAAGTAATCCTTGCACTAGAACCCTTTTAAGAAGGGAACAAAGATGTGCTTAGAGCCTGATAACAACTGCTTACGGTTGAAAGAGTTAAGATCGCCTGATTATGGGACAAAGAGAGAGTGACCCTGAGGGAAGCTGAAAGATCAGTGAATTCACTCAGGCAAAGGGGGGGAAGCAAACGAGTGTATTGAAACCTTCAAGGTGCCTCGTCTCCACAGCAACGCCTCTTATGCGTTCTCCAGAATAGCTATGGGTCTCTTTTTTGATGATGCAATTCCCGGATGATAAACAGGGCGGCTGTGGAGTACGGGGTTTCCGATCGAAGGAATCTTTTGGAAAGTTAGCCGAAAGTCGCTGTATAAGCGATTCATGGGAGAATTTTGGCTGCATTATGAATTTCCTCTTCGTAACAACCAAGGACTTATAAATTGCCATGATATGTCTGAAAAAATTTTGATATGTTACCTTTATAATGCTGCTGCTCCCAACCGGGCTAATATGTCAGAATTGTCTTGTCATTGATTTATAGAGTAAAACCCGTTTTTTGTGGACAGGTCCGCTATTTCTAGCGAAAAAAGCAGTAATGGGTTTTGACGCCTTCGCATTGGAAATTGTTTTTTAAAATGTGAGATTGCCAAGTTAATTTTGAATCAAGTATCACTCCTAGTACTTAGGAGGGAACCCAGGGAATTGGTTCCCGAAGAACTGCAAGTTAGGTAAATTTTGGAAAGTACTTTGGATAAATAAAGTGGTAGCACATGTAGCGACATTTAATTTTGTTCTTCCACAGTCTGAGCCAGGCTTAGGCTTAAAAGATAATTCTGCAGTGCAGAATTCCGTGGAAGTGTTGGAATGTGAGTCATGATGGTGTTAGTCGCATAAAGCTAGATCGACATTAGGTGCTCAGTAGTCATTCTTAGATGTTGAACATTTGAGGTCCGAGCAAACTTCCTTTGTGGACCAGCCAAGATGAGAGGGGAATTTTTTCAGGGCGAACT